CCTGCCACAACGCCCAGCCATTTTTTCATCATAGCTGTCTTGTTTGGCAGGTCAGGGCTGGATTTGAACCTGCCAGCTATGGTGTATGTGGCTGGTGCCTTAGCTGCTTGAACTACAAGGGCTGAGCCAGAAAATTACAATTTTTAATAAATGAAAATTCATTATTTACATGTGTAAATTGAGTATATCAATATCCTTTACTTTCTATGCTTTATATATTTTTTCATTATCACTTAAAAGATAAGTTCAAAACAGCGCTTGCCCACACAATAATATTTTTTATTGTTTAGTTTTGAGGACTTTCTATTCCCCAGGGTATCACCCTACACAGACTACTATAATTTCACTAATAGCATCTTCATGCTGTTATAGTATTTTAAAAGTTTTGGAATTTTGTTACGATTTTGAAGTTCTATATATAAAACCTTCTACTACCTCTATTAACAATCTTTATCATATCATATAATAATGACTGACTCATGTAACTACCCTTAAGAAAAATTCTCAATGACAAAGACCAAATTTTAGAAATTTTACTTTCCCAGAGCCTTGCTTTCTGTGTCTGGCAGCCAAGAAGTGTTAAATAAATGCTTAATGAGTACAAAAATTTTATAAATAACTAAATCTTTTCATAAATATTTTTTGAAAATGCAATTCCTTTATGATAAAAGAACTATGCAACCTAACAATACACGGGAAAAGCTTACTTAAGAAAATAAAATTTCTTACTGTTTATTGAAGAAATATGGTTGTGTTCCCAGTCTTTGTGAAAGAGCTTGACAGCACTGGTCTACATCTTCTAAAACCTAACACAGCCAATATGGACCACAAAGAAAAATACTCAAATTAACAAAACAATCAAGAGTATCTAAAAATTTATACCACAGCTTACAACAAAAATATAAATTTAGGTTACTATATTTAGGTTTTAAAATATATTTAAATCAGACTATAGACCATAAGTCATACTTTCTACATAAGAAATAGAAAACACGAGAATAAATTTCCTTTAAATATATTTAAGTTAATTATAAGAACTTTGTCAAGAACAAAAACATTATCCTGAACCTATTTATTCAAATGACTTTGCAGATATAAAAAAAATTCGCTTCATAAGGATAACACTGCTGACCTCCCATGAGTAAAAGCATTTGGATTGTTTTCCCACTAGTGGAGATGGACTTTATTTACTCTTTCTCTATTCATTTACTTAATCCCCCTTGTGGCCAATGACACACATCAGTGAAATGGCTGGCTAGGATTAAGGGTAGCTGTGGAAAAGACAGACATTAATTAACTTCATCCTAGTGGACGAGACATGTATTTTACAATTTTGCCACTTTAGTACATTTAAAACCAAAGAAAAGTAAATATATTAAGTACTTATATTTAATAGTGTTTCTTCTTTAAGCTCGATGTTGCAGAACTATATTTATTGACATAAAAGATGCCCACAATGCATTGAAAAACGGGGAGAGAAATCAGGTTATACAGTGGCAGGTATAATATGATCCCACTTAAGGAACATTTAGAATAATGTTCTCCAAATAGTTAAGAGTAGCAATTGCTAGGTGGTGGGATTTTAGGCAAGTTTTACTTACTTTTTACACTTTTCTGAATTATAATCTTAGCTTTACCTTCAGGATGTATGATTTTTATTATTATTATTTATTTAGTTAGTTTTGCAGTTTTTGGCCGGGGCTAGGTTTGAACCTGCCACCTCCAGTATATGGGGCTGGTGCCCTACTCCTTTGAGCCTCAGGCGCCGTCCAGGATGTATGATTTTTTAAAGAAATAAATAAAATTACTTCATGTCAGAGAAAATAACAGCAACTGTTTTGCTAATGCTATATCATAATGGGAATTTTTAAAAGGAGCATCAGGATAAAGAAGGAATTTTTAATGCATAAAAGTTGAGGGTTTTGTGAAGTTCAACCTGAACCTACCTGGTCCAGAGTCTTGTTACCCCAACCAATAGCTTTCATCTTACGTTTGATTTCCCACTGTTTCTGATAGGCCAAAATATGATTCAGAGGCCAAGGGTAAGGAGATCCATACCTAGCATGAGTAATCTAAAACAAAAAAATTTTGTTAAAAATAGGATTCTTCCTAAAAACAACATCTGGTTTTACAAATAGAACTCTATAAGAAATATATTTTCAAAGAACATAAATAGAGCAATTTGAGAGAAATACATAGCTTGCAATCTAAAAAATTAAAGTCTTAAACTGTACCCTTTAAAAATATATAAACTTTCATGTACTTTGCAACCAGTTATATCAAACAATGACACATAACTTCCCTAAAATGTATGTGCAAGCAAAATTAAAGTAAGTGGAAAAACTGTATCACTAATGGTATAAACCACAATGTTTCATTTATGAGCAGGGACTTGCGATTCTGAGCAAAAGTGTTTTCTCATTAAATTTTAATTAAGATAAATGCTACAGAACCACTCACCTCCCCTACTGTAGCTTCATCACACCACTGAAGATACAACTAGGAACAAAAGAACAGTCACTGAAACTTTAGAATACCAAAGAGAAAAAGGATAAGAAGGTTATTGCTCACCATAGTAATTTTTTATAAACCAATTTTGTAAGTCATATGTGTGAGGGTTTGTGTTCCTTAGCTACTACTATGCAGAATAATTAAATTTAATGATGGAACCTTATAAAAATATTTCTTATTCACACAATACATCTCTAAATACCATTAAGTAGACTTCAAAAGGCCAAAGTAAATAATGAGCAAGCTAGAATCACTCCTTTTTACAGACAGAAAAAATTAAGAAAAATGTCAGATAATCTGTTCAAAGATAATTTGAGTAACTATCCTAGCCCCAGAATTACTTGACCATTTTCCCATTTCTTAATAACTTTAAAATAACCCATAGGAAAGAATATATATTGTGAGAGGAAAAAACTTATTTTTTAACCCATATTATCTGGTTTTCTACCTCTGCAGTCAACAGCATGTTGTTGACTAATTCCATGTAAGCTTTCATTTCTGCTTTTTGGACTTCATCCAGCCCATCACTAAGAGAATGGCCCTAAAGGGAATTTAAAAAAAATTTAAAGAACATCATATTAAATATACAAAAACTTTCAGTTATCTTAATAACAAGTACTATAACATGTAACTATCCAATGGATTAATTCCCAAAACGCCTCCCCAAACAAAATTATTCTATATAAAAGCATATTTAATACTCTGTATCACTATAAAATATTAATAAGTAGTATTTGTTATTATATAAATGCATTTCCAAGAGACCAAACTGCATTATCAATTACTTCACAAAAGCAAAAAATAGATGGAATACTGTTTGTAAAAGTATAGGCACTAATTTTAAAATTCAAGTACACTATAGTAATTAGTAGATACATGAAATGATACTTCCTTTAGTTCAATCTGGCAGTCTACTGCAAGATTTTAAAAATGCATACCCTGTGACATCCCCAAACCACTCTTAGAAATTTATCTAAGGAGACAGACAAATATACAAGTGTTTACACACAAGAAAATGTACCCTAGCACTCTATGATAGCAAGACACTGGCCACAATCTATGCTTATTAGTAAAGACTTGAGAAAATAAAATTATAATGTAACAGATCCAATATTACAGAATATTATACAATTTAAAAGGATGACATATGTCTATATACCTACAACTATTAATAGAGAAGAATTTCAACCATATTAATAATTTGAAAAGGTAGGATGTGAAATAACACATACTAGTATGATCAAGATTTTCCTATAAAGTCCAGAAAGATGTTTCCCCAAACATTAATGGGTATGGTTCCTTAATAACTATTAAAATCTAACTGAATAAATGAAAAGTAGAGTCTTTCAAATAGATAAACTAAATAAATATATTAACTTCTGACCATAACTTCTATCTCCTTTCTTAGAAATCAAACAGATACTTCATAACAACCTGCTAGTTTTCACTTAATGACCAAAATTCTCATAAGCATAAATTAGAAAATTATCTACCATTTTGTAAAGCTCAAACTACCTCTTTTGTCCTTGACTTACATCATGAAAAACACCAACCTATACTTTAGAATATTTTCTAGTAGTTTGTATTGGCATTTTATAAAACTAGGTTAAAATCAATGTAAATGTTAAGATACACTAAAGAATGACGAATGACTTACTTAACAGTAACTGTGATTAAATGCATTATATATATATATATATATTATTTTTTTACCTTAGCTTTAACAAATTGGACTATTGGGCCAAGTTCTGATACTACTTGATTTCCCACATGAATAAAAGGTACTTTACCTGTTGAGGGGGAAAAAGGTATAAAAACACTTTAAGTAAAGTTTGTACTAATAAAAAAATAAATTAACACAAAACTCGATGTTCTAATACTATGTACAGAGATTTCATAAAACTATAACTTTTGAACATTAGTCAGATACGTATGTTAAATTCTATAAATTTTTAAACACTGATTACTAACCAATTTTAAAACAAAAGAAAAAGGAACAAATAGATTCATTTCTAGAGTATCTGTTTGGATATAATAGCAGATTACAATATTTTCTTTCAGAGCTAACAATAAATCACTATATAATAGTAAACACTAATTTTCCAAATTACATGAACCAAATCAAAACACTGGTTCATGACCACTGATAAATTTTAAACAAATTGACTGGGCTTTCTCTTCAGAGTACAAAGAAAACACTACTTTGTAAACTCATTTAAGAAGTCTTCTTTTTATATCTTCTAACTTTAAATCTTTGATTCCCGTTAAAGTCAGTGTTTTAAGCACATCATGTTTTTCACACAAAATATCAAGAATTAAAAGAATTAACAATCTTTGAAGGTACACTCCTTAGTGAATTATAATGCAAAGTATGTTCCCAACACATGTGGGGAAAAAGAGCTGGCTTCTCTAAATACACGCCACATTAACAAATACAGTATTTCATTTTAATAAATACCAATACTTGATGAAATTATCAGAGATGAGAGAAAAAAATCATTTCTAAACAGAAAGACGGTCTACTCCAAATTCCAAAACATGAAACCTGCTGTCAGACCTAGTTCAAATAGAGTTCAGACTAACAGCAGGCTGCTTCCTGCTCCCTTTCAATAGATTCACTCCTCTCTCACTCAGTCGGCCTGGGGGAAATGGATGAAGTGCACAGTACCAACAATAGCTTCATCTGCATCGACAGGATAACATGCATTACAAAGGAAAGGCAGGCCTTCTGGAACACCACAGCTCTATGGATGTATTTAGAAGACATTTCCTTGTCACCAATGCTGCATTCCCTCCTTCCACTGCTTTATAAATCTTGCAAAAAAGAAAAGACTTTCTTATCCTGGTAACTATTAGGCCATATTGTTTTTTAACTTGGGATAAAACCTTTGTAACTACTATACCACTAAAATTAGTGTAGGTCCTTCGAGATAAAATGATCTGAGAATGAAAACTATTTAGTGCTTTAACTAAAGGGTATTTTGGTTATAGCACTTCTAGAGCAAAGTGTATTTCTCATTTTCAATAACTAGCATCAAGTTCTTAGAAAAAGAGTTGTATTTCCTTTTCTTAAAAATATCTTCAGCATTGTAGATTCTAAAGCAGAGAAGAAGTCTCGGTAGTCAATTGAGTATTCATCCTATATGTATATCCCTAAATATAAAGAAATAAATAAAAATCAAGGCAAAAGTTAGACATGAATAATGGAGCCAATGTTCTACTATTACAGGTATCAGGTGAAAGCAAAATGGGACAGTTATTCTCTGGCACCAATCAAAGGTCAAAAAAGAAAACCAAGGCCTCTCCTTTTCTTTTTAAGTGAATAATCACATTTAGAACTTTTATTTCTAAAGACCATGTTGCCAAACAAGTATACAGATTCAGAGAATGTTAGAAATACAAAGGACCTTGGATCATTTAATTAAGCCACCTCATATTACAGATAGTCACGGAGACTCAGAAAGAGAAGTAAAATTTTCCCAGAAAATAGTTAATGTGTGACCAAGTCACAGAAAGAGTAAGGATTTCCTAATACATAGCCAAGTGGTCTTCCATTCTATGTTCTCTGCTTTTAAAAATCTACAACAAGAAACAGGCAAATAAAAAAGCATCTCCCTGATCATCCCAAATCATTTGATGAAAGAGAATAATAATTTGAGATAAGATAAAATTTAAATATCTTAGAGAAAGTATGATTTTTTTTTTTTTCGAAGACAGAGTCTCACTTTCTCACCCTGGGTAGAGTTCACAGCAATGTCAAACTCTTGGGTTCAAGTGATTCTCTTGCCTCAGCCTCCCAAGTAGCTGGGACTACAGGTACCCACCACAATGACCAGCTAGTTTTAGAGGCAGGGTTTCACTGTTGCTCAGGCTGGTCTTGAACTCCTGAGCTCAAGCAATCCACCTGCCTCAGCCCTCCACAGCGCTAGGATAATAGGCATGAGCCACTGCAACCTCCCAGAAAGTATGATTTTCATCTACCTGGGGAGACTCCTCCTTATAAAAGAATGTATGGATGTATTATATGTCTCTAACATATACGTGTTAGTCTTTTGTAGTCTATAAAAAGTTGTCAGACAACCAGCTAAGTAATAGCTTATTTTATTTCTAAGTATAGAAATTTGGGGAACCAAGTAGATGAACTACTTTGACTTTTCATTGCTAATTTTAGTATTGGATTATTAACCTTTGTGTATGTAAATACTCTTTGTGTATATAAATATACACTCTTTTTATGTGACTATACAGAGAAAAGATGGACAGAATATAATTTGCTTCATAAGAATTCAATGTGTAAATAAAAATCAGCACAAAGATGAGTCAATAAATGGCCTCCAAGAATCATAAATCTAGAAATCCCTTTATAAAAATGTTTTCTACATATATGTATAAACCTACAAATATAGATATATCCATACAATATTCAATCTGTATGAGGAGGGTGTCTTCACACTTTTTGACAATTATTACTCTTAAGAATTTAAGGTGAAAAAAATGTTTACTACAAGTCATTCCAAAGTTACCATCACATCACAACGAAAAGATAGATAACTGTCTCCCTAAAAAGCAATGTAACATACTTACACCCATCAGTTATAATTAACAATTTATTCAAAGAGCATTTTCATGTGTTGTTACTGCTATAGCAAAACCATAAATAACCCATGCCAATTATGCTTTAACTTTACTTATCAGCTTTGTAATATCATATTTTGATATTAAAAATTATTTGCATCATATTTAAAACAGGATTTTCATATGCTAATGTACAGAATTAATACTGATTATAAAAAATACTAGAAAGGCTAAAATTTTAATAGCATTTTCTCAGATTTGTTAATATAAAGCATTGGAAAAAAGAAATCATTAGAAACCAAAACATTCAGTGACAACTTTAATAGCTAATGACAAATTAATTATTCTACAATCTCTCTTTTTCTGCCTTAATATAGAGAAATGTGTTAAATAATGAATGAATTTATTATTAACTGAAATTTGTTTTCTGAAGAGCAAAGTTTTATGTAAGTAAAACTGGAGAAATCTTGGGAGCATGTATTTCCTTAATATTTACTATTTAAAACAATTCCCACAACACATGAGCAACATTTCTGACTAGAGTTAACCTGAATAGATATGCCAATCCCAAAACTGTCAAGTTTGCAATTGTCACCTTATAAAACCAAGGAAAATTCCTCAAAAGATAAACCAAAAACCCAGATATTTTTAACATGTAGGTACAAACTGGGTTATCACTGCTGCAATTTTATCAATCCAGAATATGTGTATTAACAGAGAAGGAAAAAAACACACTTACCAGATGGAGACATATATTCTGCATTTGCCCTACAAACTACTTTGATAGGCAGATTACACATTTGCAAAAAGGCCTGTAAATCAAGAGACACACAATAAGCCTCGTGAAAGCATATGCATATTTGAACAGAACTTTTTATTCATTTCTTTTCTAAAATAATGCATCAATTTAAAGTGAAGGAGGTATTACCAAACAAAAATGTTTGATTTTCACCACTTAAAAATCAATATGATTTAGACACAAGCAAACATATGAAACTTCAAGCATGCATATACACTTAAGGAAGAACATGTAAATTTTCCACACTTATTTTACTATATTAGTTTGTGTAAGTCAGCAATGCTGTATATTGCTTTAATTTTCTTAAGTAGATGACTAAAGTCCAAATTTTATAAGCTACTGATCGTTTAATTCCACTACTCTCCACAAGATCATCTTTCTCACCTTACGGGAAAACTCAAAATGTTATTTCTGCTACTTCAAAGTTTTCTCCAACACCATTCTATATATTCTAACACGTAGCTTCTATGCTCACTAATTCACTTTTTAAAGACTTATATGCACTATGTTTACGATAACAAAAATTTCATAAGCAATTTCAATGTCTGATGATAAGGGGACAGGATAAATCATTACAGTAGATCTAAACTATAAAATTAACATTATACAGTCGATTAAAAACCTGCTTTGAAGAAATTTTATGACACAGAAAAAATGTACACATTATAATATTAGGTAAAAAATTAGATTTGCATCACTACATCATATTAATTCATTTTTAAATGTTTTTAAGACCCTGGTGGCTAGTTGTCTGTGGCTCAAGTGGCTAAGGCACCAGCCACATACACCTAAGGTGGAGGGTTCGAATCCAGCCTGGGCCCGCCAAACAAC